AATATTCATTAAAAAAAGAAATATTCATTTTTACTGCTTTTGTATTTCCTACATTTATATAGTCACATTTGGTCTCCTTTCCACTCAAAGAGTCCTCTTTAATATTTCTTGCAGGGCTAGTTTAGTGACCATAAACTCCTTTAGTTTTTGTTTGTCTTGGAAACTCCTTATATGTCCTTTTATTCTCAGTCATAGCCTTGCTGATGCGTTATTTTTAGCTGCAGATTTTTCCCATTCAGCACTTCGAACATGTCATGGCATTGCTTTCTGGCTTGCAAAATTTCTGTCTGAAAATCTCCTGCTAGCTTTATGGGTTTTCCCTTGTAAGTTACTGACATTTTGTCTTGCTACTTTTGAGATTTTTTTCTTTATATAAAAAACAGATTTATCAGTATTTTGTGAATTTAATTACAATATGTATTGCTGTGGGCCTGCTTTTGTTGATTTTGATGGGCGTTCTCTGTGCCTCCTGAATCTGGATGTGTTTCCTTTCCCAGGTTAAGGAAGTTTTCAGCTATTATTTCTTCAAATAAACTTTCTGCCTTCTTTTCTCTCTTCTTCTTTTTCTAGGACTCCTACAATACAAATGTTTTTACATTTGATGGAGTCACAGAGTTCCCTAAGTCTATTCTCATTTTGCATAATGTTGTTTTCCCTCTTTTGTTCAGCTTCATTGCTTTCCATTAGGTTGTCTTCTAGGTCATTAATTCATTCCTCTGCTTCTTCCAGCCTGCTGTTCATTGCATCAAGCCTGTTTCTAATATCTTTTATTGCATTCTTCATCTCTGATTGATTCTTATCTCTTGTCTCTGTGGTAAGGGTCCCACTGATGTCTTCCATTCTTTTCTCAAGTTCAGTGAGTATCCTTATGATCATTGCTCTAAATTCTCCATCAGGCATGTTACTTTTATCTGTTTTGCTCAGATCTCTGGCCGTGGCCTTATCTTGTCCTTTCAATTGGGATAAATTCCTCTTTCTTTTTTTAAGTCTCTGCATCCTTCTCTGTGTTAGAAAAGCCAGTCATGTCTCCTACTTCTGAAAGTAATGGCTTTATGAAGAAGAGGTCATGTAGTGCCCAGGTCCTGGTGCTTCAGGTTAATGCTTCCAGTGTGTTCTGTGTGCGCTCTGCTCTTGTGTTCTGGCTGCTCTATTCCTCAGGCCAGTCGTCTGCAGATGCTTTCCTTGCCTGCTGGGGGCAGTTTTTGGTCCCTGTCCTAGATGTGTCGAGTTTTAACTAGGTATGCTCTGGTCTGCCTGTGAAATGAGGCCTGTCACCATGCCCACCAGAACTGAGGCCCTGCAAAACTCTCTGGTCAGGAGACATAGTGTGGGCAGGGGCCTGTGCTGGTCTTCCCACCAACAGTGCAACAGGGTTCCTTTTTCTCCATATCCTCGACAGCACTTGTCATTTGTTGTGTTTTTGATTGTAGCCATTCTTACAAGTGTATGGTGATACTTCATTGTGGTTTTGATTTGCATTTCCCTGATGATGAGTGATGTTCATCATCTTTTCATGTGTCTGTTGGCCATTTGTATGTCTTTGGAAAAATGTCTGTTTGGGTCTTGTGCCCATTACTAATCAGATTATTTGGGTTTTTGGTGTTGAGTTATGTAAGTTCTTTATATATTTTAGATATTAATCCTTTATCAGATATATCATTTGAAAATATCTTCTCCCATTCAATATGTTGCCTTCTCGTTTTGTTGGGGTTCCTTGATTATGCAAAGGCTTTTTTCTGTTTTAAGTAAACTCTACCCCAACATTGGGCTCCAACTCATGACCCCAAGATCAAGAGTTGTATGCTCTACCAGCCAGGTGCCCCAAAAGCTTTTTATAAAAGTGTAGTCCCAAGAGCTTATTTTTGCTTATTTCTATTGCCTAAGGAAACATATCTAGTAAAATGTTTCTACTGCCAATGTCAAAGAAATTACTGCCTGTTTTCTTCTAGGAGTTTTATGGTGTCAGACTCACACTTAGGTCCTTAATCCATTTACAGTTTAATTTTGGTTTTGATGTAAAATTGGTCCAGTTTCATTCTTTTGCCTGTAGCTGTCCAGTTTTCCCAACACCATTTATTGAAGAGATTGTCTTTTCCCCACTGTATATTCTCACCTCCTTGGCCATAGGTTAATTGACTATATAAGCATGGATTTATTTCTGAGCTCTCTATTCTGTTCCACTGATCTATGTGTCTGTTTTTGTACCAATACCATACTTTTTTTGATTACTACAGCTTCGTATTGTAGCTTCAAATATGGGATTGTGATATCTCCAGCTTTGTTATTCTTTCTCAATAATTCTTTCCTTCTTAGCTATGTATTAACTTTTAAGCCTATCTTTTAGGGACGCCTGGGTGGCTCAGTTGGTTAAGCGTCTGCCTTCAGCTCAGGTCATGATTCCAGGCTCTTGGGATTGAGTCCCACATTGGGCTCCTTGCTCATTGGAGAGCCTGCTTCTCCCTCTGCCTGCCGCTCCCCCTGCTTGTGCCCTTTCTCTCTCACAAATAAATAAATTCTAAAAAAAAAAAAAAAAGTATCTTTTAAAACTATCACTATGTATTTCTTGGAAAGAGTTTCTTCTTAGGGTGATTACACTGCGGGGTGGACCTGGGCAGGGGTTACTTTCGTTCTCTTTTGAAACACTTAGTATTTGTAAAGATTTTTTGGAAGTTACCAATGAGTCTAGGAAGCTCCTTAGACTATTGTTTTTTTTTTTTTTCAAGATTTATTTATTTGAGAGAGCGAGAAAGAGAGAGTGAAGGAAAGGGGCAGAGGAAGAGAGCATCTGAAGCCAACTCTGCAGTGAGCACAGAGCCTGATGCAGGGCTCAGTCTCACAACCCTGAGATCATAACCTGAACCAAAACCAAGAGTCGGATGTTGAATCGACTGCACCACCCAGGCGCCCCTAGACTGTTGTTTTATTTTTTTTTAAAGATTATTTATTTATTTATTTGACTGAGAGAGACACAGCGAGAGAGGGAACACAAGCAGGGGGAGTGGGAGAGGGAGAAGTAGGCTTCCCGCCGAGCAGGGAGCCTGATGTGGGACTTGATCCCAGGACACTGGGACCATGACCTGAGCCGAAGGCAGACACTTAACGACTGAGCCACCCAGGTGCCCCTAGACTGTTGTCTTTAAAGGATCTTTATTTCCATCTCTTTCTCCACCCCCTTTTAGGGAACAAAACGCATGAAGGACACATACCCCAAATCAACACTCTCTTCATCTCTGAATGGTGGCATTAGTGGTTGTCTTCCTTTCCTCTCTACACTACACTGCCTCTGTTTATGCACACCTTACTTTGTAAAAACATATTCTTTTGTTCGAAATGAAATATTTAAATAAATGCACCAGTCAGGTACCTGGGAGTCACTGTGACCCAACAACACATCCCCACCCACCTAGGCATTAGGGATGCCACTTGCAGCAGCCCTGGGAAGGCCATGAAGAAGCACTGGTCCCGTAGCAGGTCCTTAGCAAAGTGTACAAGGTGATGTGGTTCAAGAAGTGCCTGTTTTGTTTTTTGGTTTATTAAAGATTTTATTTATTTTATTTGAAAGAGAGCGCATGTCTACATGTGCACGCATGCATGGGCGGGGGAGAGGGGCAGAGGCAGAGGGAGCCCGATGCAGGACTTGATCCCAGGATCCCGAGATCATGACCTGAGCTGAAGGCAGATGCTTAACCGATTGAGCCACCCAGGTGCCCCAAGAAGGGCCTGTTCTTGGAAACCTGGTTCTCTCGTCTGGGGATGGAGCAACTAAGAGTATCATAACATCAGGCTTATGAATGAGACAAACTTATATTATTTTTTGACACTACTTGTTTAAACTTCTTTCAATTGTAAATAGTTTTGTAAATTGTCAATATTAAATTTCCCACTTTATGAGACATTATTTGCCCACTATCAGGAAGGAAAAATAATTTTCTTTTTACTATTGTACGTTCTTGCTGGGGCCACTATAACAAAAGACAGATGAACAAGAGTAAACGCACAGAAGTTTATTGACCTGTGTATCCTCCCTATGACACATGGGAGTCCCCAGAGGTGAACAACACAAAGGCTTGGTTACAACTTGAGTTTACACAGTATTTTTGCAGGGAACAATAAACTTTTAGAATAATTACATGACAAAAGCAAAGGACCTTGAATCTCCAGAGCAATAAATTGTGAGAAGGCAAATATATGGGAAACATAATGGTAGATAAGGGCTAGTTGGTAAAATCCATTATGTAGATTTCTCTAGTGCCCTCTCCAGGCTAAAGAACTAATGTTTTCTCCATGGAATAACTTTTCTCCTTCCTGGTAGAGATAGACATCTTTTAAAATTTATGCCCTACTTTTAGGCAAATGGGGAGAGGGCTGGGAGCTTTGCTTGTATAGGCTTCTGCTTAATTGCCCACAACTCAATAGTCTTTATGCCAAAGTGGCACATTTTGAGGTCACATATTCTGCCACCTTCACTACAAATTCATGCTGTGTATATTTGGTTATGTATGAGAAATTTCATGTTCATTTCAAGCCCTGAGCAAATCTGAAGAAAATGTAGATTATATCATTACATTTATACAAATAAACAAAGGACAAAAGTCTACTATATACACATGTATTTGTTTCCTGCATGTATATCCAGATACCTATGTCCTGTTGGTCATTTAAACATGGTTCAAAAAAAAAAAAAAAAGGTTAAATGACCAAACTGTGCATTATGTTTAATATTGGACAGTGGAATTTCGAGGAACTCTTTCAATCATCTCTGTACTGAGACTATTTTTTGGTAGACAAATGGGGAATGTCAATTATGATTTTTAAATGTAGCATTGTTTAAAAAAATCTGTGGTGGCCCAGTAGCATATAACACAGAAATGAATTTTTGATCAAAAATAATTATAGCTTCTTTCCCATGTGTAGCAACAACACATGAAAACTTTGGAATTCTCTGGGTCTTTCTGCAAGTGACAACAATAATAGTGGTTTATGTTTTCATCTTTTTACAGATAATAGAAGACATCATCCTAAAATTCATAAAGGAATTTCAAGAGACCACCAAAAACTCAAAACAATCTTGAAAAAGAACAAAGGTGGAGGACTTACACACCCTGATTTCAAAATTTGCTAGAAAATTGTTATACACTAATCAAGACAGTGTGGAACCGCCATGAGGACAGATACATAAATGAATGGAGAACCCTAGAGAGCCAGAAACACATCATCATGTGTATGATCAAATGATTTTCAACAACGATGCCAATACCTTCCAATGGTAAAACACAGTCTCTTCAACAAACAGTCTTTGGCCAACTGGATTTCCACATATAAAAGAAAGAAGTTGGGACACTTATACTACATTGTATACAAAAATAAACGCAAATTATGTTAAAGCCCTAAATGTAAAATACAAAACTATAAAACAGCTAGAAGAAAACATGGTTAACATTTTGTTGACCTGGGATTTGGCAGTGATTTCTTGCATATGACATGAAAACAATGGGCAAAAAAGCAAAAATAGACAAATGAGACTACAAACTTAAAAACTGTTCTGAGTCAAAGGACACAATCAAGAGTGAAAGGACAACGTACAGAATGGCAGAAAATACTTGCAAAACAAATGCTTGATAAGGTATTAAATATAGAGAGAACTCCTACATCAAAACAATGGAAAACAACGTGAACTAATGTGTAAAATTTTCAAAGGACATTTCTCTCAGGATGACATACAAATGGCCAACCAGCATATAAAAAGATGCTTAACATCACTACACTTCAGAGAAGAATAAATTAAAACCAAAATGAGATACTTACTACCTTACACACATTAACATAGCTGTTCTTAAAAATAAACAAAAAACAAATCTTGGTGATTCCACATATATGTGGCAAAGTAAAGTGCTTCACTCAAAGAAAAACAAAGCAAAATGGCAAATGCCCAAGGCTGGGGGGAGAGAAAACAGGGACGTGTTGTATGAAGGATAAAGACATCACTTCTGCAACATGGACAGGTTCTTAATATCTACATGGTAACATTAAGAATATATTGAAAACTGGGGCGCCTGGGTGGCTCAGTCGTTAAGTGTCTGCCTTCAGCTCGGGTCATGATCCCAGGGTCCTGGGATCGAGCCCCACATCGGGCTCTCTGCTCGGCCGGGAGCCTGCTTCTCCCTCTCCCACTCCCCCTGCTTGTGTTCCCTCTCTCGCTGTGTCTCTCTCTGTCAAATAAATAAAATCTTTAAAAAAAAAAAGAATATATTGAAAACTAATGCTCAGTACAGTCAAAACTGGATATATACTAAATTTTATGATTATCTTTAAGAACAACAAAACTCTTAATGTAGACTACAATATTATCAAAAATGGTGGAAATAATAAAAACCATTTTGCAAGGTGAACTAAAAAGACTTTTTTAAGATTTATTTATTTATTTGAGAGAGCGAGAATGAGAGAGAGTACATGAGAGGGGGGAGGGTCAGAGGGAGAAGCAGGCTCCCCGCCAAGCAGGTAGCCCGATGCAGGACTCGATCCCGGGACTCCAGGATCATGACCTGAGCCGAAGGCAGTTGCTTAACCAACCGAGCCACCCAGGCGCCCCTAAAAAGACTTCTGAAAAGAAATTCCAGAGAGGAAAGATACTCAAAAATGAAACTTATTTCTAGATGACAGAGATTAAGGTACTATGGGTACAAGAATAATCCTTTTATGTCAATTCACTGATGAGAAGTTTGATTTTTTTTCCCCTAAAATTTAAAATACAAATATTTTCTGTAGTGAAGCTTTGATGGCATGTTTACACAGTCAAGATACGAGTCTCATGAATTTTCAGGATGCAAAATCAGCCATACTTACAAGAGAAGAGAAACTGTTTTAGGATGCCCAAGCAGCACCGACTTAGGGCAAGAAGCAAGAACAGAGGATGAAGACTCAGTCTGGGGACCATCAAGGTAGTGAAGACAGGTGAGCTATGAAACTATGACAAGTACGAGTCTGTATTATTGAAGAATGGCTGGGACCCTGGGGAAGAGGGACTGGACAGGACTCACCAGAATCTCCTTCTGCTGATAGACTGTCCCCTGAACTGAGCTGAACTACTTTGGTTTATACACACACACCAAGAATGTGCTGGCTGAAGTGAACCCCCAGACTTGAATTCCAGGAAACTTTCACCACGTTTGTGAACTCATGGTTCAGCTCTTAACAAAAACTAAGTGTCCAAACAGCTGATGGCCTCAAGAATCCAATGTGAGAACACATCCAATTTGAATGTATGAAAATTGTCATATCTTTCTCCATCCCAGTGATGTGTGAGACTTGGTGCCCAGAAATGACCCCATTGTTTTTGTGATGGGTGCAAATACCCAAGTCAATGTGCACTATTCGCAGAAGATGGTGTCCATCACCAAAAAATAACCTATCTGCTGCCATCAAGTGTGCAAAACTGACCAGAACGCTTCAAGTATGTGTAGTAATTTAACAAAAGACCCTTCTTCGAAAACACACACTATTCACATAGCATAATTTGAACCACTTAGTAAGTCACTGTTCGGGAATGCCGTTCTTACAATAAGACTGTGCAGTTTTGGGAAAGCAAGGACATACATATCCCATTTGATTACCCTATAAATGAAGTTGGAACAAAAATTTTTTCAACTTGAAAATCAATGGAAAAATAAACCCATTTTCTCTGAAAATGAATATATTCATTCTATATGTACAGCATCTTCAATAAACCTGCAACCTAAAAATGAAAATCAATACTGCCTCAGATACTAATACCCTAATTGATACTAAAAAAAAAAAAAAAAAAACCCCGATCATAGGTTGTAATAGACAAAACTGCTACAAACTTACATAGGATAAAAGGTATTAAAGTGGACGAAAACACAGAAATAAGATCTTAAAATTATTACCATATACACCTAGCTACCTCTTCCCGAAAAAAATCAAAACAAAACAAAACTTGCAACCTTCAAAATGCCTACATTTCACATCCTACAGGCTGAACATAAAATATTTCACCACTGCAGAAAAACATATCCTTTACCAAGCTACCTTCACCGTCTTTCCCGAAAACCACATGTCTGGGACTCTAATTCTCCCGGTATCAATCTCTCAAGGTACCCAGGTTACACACCAAAACTCTACACCTCAGAGCACTTAGAGCATAGGAGGGAGGGCCCATCTCCCGACCCGCCTGCGACTCCCACAGCACTGCTCCACCCGGGAAAGCCGAAGCTCGGGGCTCACGGGATCCCCAACGACTTCCGCTTGATGGCAGTATTGCTCCACGGACACCAACCGGCCCTTCCCCCAGGGCCTCTCCCTCCGCCCCTCGCCGAAGAAAAAAGGCCAAGCCCTGGCCACCGGCTCCAACATGGCGGCTCCCACGTCCCG